CTAGTAAATAATGACAGTTCAGACACAAGGATAGAGGCCAACAAAACAGAGTCTAAAAAACAGATCCAGAACTAATCACCTGATTTATAACAAAGCTAACACTATAATAATGGGAAAAAGATGGTCATTGCAATAATGCTGCTGGTCAAGTAGATATACATATGAGAAAGAATGAATTGTGACTCTTATCTCACACAATAAACAAAAGTTAATTCCAGATATAGTGTACATCTAGATGTGAAAGATTTTAAAAAGTCATTTTTTAAGAAGAAAGCAAAAGAGAACATCTTCACGACCTTGGAACTGGCAAAAAGTAGACTAATTTTTCTTAAACAGGACAGAAAAAGAGATCATAAAGGAGAGGATTGGTAAATTGGACTACATTAAAGAATTTCTGTTCATTAAAAAGCATGATTGAGCAAAAAGTCAAGTCACAAAATGGGTACAGATATCTGTAATTATATATTTAACAAAGGATTTATATCAACAAACACAATGAAATCATAAATCAAAACTGAAAAGGCAGAATAACCAAAAATGAACAAAAGACTTAGGCATTTCAAAGAAGATACCTAACTGACTAAAAAGCATATCAGAAGTAACTCAATTTCATGAGACATCAAGGAAATGCAATGTAGTGATACTACTGCACACTCAACAAAATTATTAAAATAAAACATATACAAATATACATATACAAATATATACAAATACAAACATATACAAACATATACAAATATATACATATATTTACCAAAGACATTTATGATTGTGTTCATGATAGTAGCACTACTGTTCATAAAGAGCAGGATAAATAATATGTTGTGGTACATATGTACAAAGGAATACTATATTGCAATGACAATGAATATCTGTAACTATAAGTGACATATGAATAAATCTCATAAATATAATATTAAGCAAAAGGAACCAAAAACAAAAGAGCATAAGACAATGGTTCCTCATTTTCTCAGAATGAACTTCTCTCAGAGAGCCTTTGCCTCTCCAGGCACTGTTGGATGGGTGGGTCAGAATTACTGCCAGAATTTAGTAGAAAGATGATCAAATACATTTTTCATGATCAGCTTTGTCAGTGATAAAGGCAATCTTCGGGGGCAGAGGAAGAACAAGAGAGAGCGAGAGAATATGAATATCATCAAGTATAAGGAAACCCTGAAATAGAAAATACACAGAAACGAATTAATTAAAACTATATTTTAAATGAAGAATATAATCACATAGAAGGGTGAAGATGGTGCACGTGTGAGAGAAAAATAGAGACAGAGAGAAAGAACTAATTTAAGTAATTTTTGAACACAGCACTGACATTCCAGTAACCACAATCGCATCTATCATCAAGATCTTGGTTTCTAAGTATCATTCTCTGCTAAAAGGAACCAAGTTTCCTTGGATAAATAGCTGACTTCAGGTCTGGGTCAGGACAGAAAGTAGAAAAGCCTAGAATACTTGTGCCAGGAAATAAAGATTTACTCAAAGAATGGGTTGAAGGTGTTCCCTGGCCAAATTTGGGACAATTTGAGCATCAAAATAAATAATGATAATAAAATATTATAACCTACTGAATATAATAAAAACCTACAAGTTCATATTGAAATAAATAAAATTGTAAGAAGGAAAAGCTCTTCCTTAAAGTTTAAGGCTAAATAATACATTTTGAATAAATAGAGAATCGCCATTTAGCAGCCATCAGGCAAAAATCACCAATGATTGTTAAAACTAATAAGTGAAAGTTTGAGGGGCAAAATAAGTGGTCTGTACTTGGTGAAAATAGCAAAAGTCATAAAAGACAAATATTGAAGAACTATTCTAGACCCCCTTCCCCCCCCAAAAAAGTACACTGTATGATTTCATTTATATCAAACTCTAGAAAATGCAAACTAATCTATAGTGACAGAAAGATAGTGTTTGCCTGAGGAAGAAGAGTGCAGGGAGGAGGCTAGGCAGAAAGAAACTTTTGGGAATGATGTTTTGATTATAATGGTTACACAGTGTACACATATGCCATAATTATCTAACTGCACACTTTAAACATGTGCAGTTTATTCTGTCAATTATATCTCCATAAAGTTTTTCAAAATTTGAGGAACTGTTCCAGGTTAAAAGAGGCCAAGAAGACATTTTCTTGTAAGTGAAATAAGAATAAAGTCTATGGGTTAGATAATAATTATAGTTCAATGTTAATCTCCTAATTTCAATAAGAGAATATCCTTGGTTTTAGGAAATATATTCTCTAGTATGTAGGGACAAAGAAATACCATGTCTGTGGCTTAATCTCAATTGTTTCAGAAAAATATAAAGAGCTGAGTCAGAGAGATAGAGAAAGAGAGATAAAAAGATAAAATAATGTTAAAATATTATCATTTGGCCAAAAGATATATCAAATTTTCTGTATAACTCGTAACTTTTCTATAAATCTGAATTATGTCAAAATGAAAGTTTTTTTTTTTTCTTAAATAAAGTATGTGGTGTTTGGAAGATTATGACCAACAGCCAAGGTCTTTCATCCCTTAACAAATCTTTTTTCCCACCCCCCATTCTAACATAACTTGACAACTTGACAACAGTGGCCACACTTACTTGCCAGAGCATGTTTACATGTGTAAACTACACACCAACATCTAAATTTATAAACCTGACTATCTGAGTTACAAATATATTCTCTATATATTAACTAAGTACCTGCCTAGACAGGCACTAGAAAAACAAAGTGCACTGGTATGAAACCAACGGAACACACAAGTACAGCTGGGGCACCGTGAGGAGTGAGTGAATTGGTAGACTTTGGTCAAATAGGGAAAGGAAGATGTACCATGAGCATGAACACTGAGGCGGGAAGATGTATGGTTAGCTTGGGGAAATATAAGTAGCCAGATACTGCTGAAACTTTAAATACAATCTGAGAAGTGACAGCAAAGTAGACAGAGGCAATCAGCTGTGCCAAGATCTTGAAGGTCTTGTGTTGCATGCTAATGAATTTTGCTCTATTTTCTTTTGTTTTCAGTGAGATATACCATACATATAGAAGAGCATTAAGTGTATTTAAGTAAGAGAATCAGAGTTATCAGAAAGAAAACTCAAATCGCACTAAGGAGAGCTTGTTGTTTAACACCTTGACTTCCCTGCTGTCTGGTACACTCACAGCAAATCTCCAGTGCACAACTCAGAGTAGAAGTGCAATAAATACTTGCAGATAATAAAAAAAGCACTGAAATTGTCCCAGTAAGAGATAAAAACCTTAACTACAGCAGTAACCAAGAAAATGGAGAGATAGAAGTGCTCAGATCTTATAGAACAAGAGACTCTAGAAGAAAGAGAGAAAAGTATCAAGGCTGACTGAATTTTACCTTTTGGGTGACGGTGCAGATTACAGATAAGCCATTGAACCAAGTACCTAATGCAAGAGGAAGAGTAAGTTTGGGAAAGAAGAGAACAAATTTGTTTATATCTATTAGAGACAGAGTATCTTTAGCAAGCATGTCATTTGATAATATTACAAAACAGGAGCTTACAAGGGAGGTGTCTGCTAAAGACATTGCTACTAAGTGTTTTAGATGTAGGTTTGTAAACTGTTAAGTAACTGGCAACATTGTGATAAACTCTTATTACAAAGTAATTTGAGTAAAGGAAGACTATTCATTGCAGTAAAGTTTGCAATAACAGAATATTTTAGAAACACTTTAAATACCCATCAATAAATGTTCGGTTAAATATCTGACCTTTTGTTTGCAATGGCTTAGTCAAATAGGAAGTCAGCATTTTTGCAGATAATTTAAGTCAAGAATGAAATAGAAAAGACTGACTGAATTTAAGTTCATAATACTTTTAAATTCATCTATTCTGCCATAACTGTATTCATAATAGACACAAAATAAATCTTAGCTTCAAGTGAGTGAGCTAAAAATTAAAAACACCATAGTTGACAGGTGTTTTAAACATCTGAAAAGCCAAGTTTGAGTATTAACCAAGCTCCATAAAATCCTTTAAATGAAGTCTAAGTCAACCAATACTTTTACTACCTTAGGTTCATAAACTATAATGAGAACTAATGTTTATATATCACTTTGGAGTTTACAAACCATTTTCAACTTCCTTCTTTTTCAACTTTTATTATCTTATTTGGAGATACAGGATTCTCTAAATCAGGGAGTGGTAAAAGAGACAGAGTCTTGCTATGTTGCCCAGGCTGGAGTGTAGTGGCTATTCACAAGCACAATCCTACTGCTGACTGGCACCAGAGTTCTGACCTGCTCTTTCCTGTCCTAGGCCGGTTCACCCCTCCTTAGGCAACCTGGTGGTCCCCCACTCCAGGCAGGTCACCATAATGACACCATAATGACACTGAACTTAGTGCAAGCACTACAGCCCAGAACTCCGGGGCTCAAGCAATCCTCCAGCCTCAGCCT